GTGTCTTTTATGCGCTTATAACTCAGTAAGTCCACTTGACACAAATTAAAACTTGCATACAAAACCGCAGATATTTGAAGGATTTCATAAACTTCCCCGGACAGCCCGGGCCTTTGTCTCCCCAGTTTTGTCTCCATTTTGAATCCATTTAAAGTATATGACATAAATGTTTAAAAGTTAGTTGTTGGCAAACTTACTTAATGATTCAATCTGCAGCAAAGACCGGAGAAACTTCTGTATGATAACACAAGGTTTTATTACATATTTACCAAATAAAGTTCTGAGTTCACCTCTTCGCCTCGATGTGGAGCCTACGCACACACACTCTGTGGCTTCCTTGCCCACACACGACCTTTCTGTTCCTTTCTTCTACTCACGCTTTCTCTCCGTCTGTCTCTCTGTATGTGCGTCCTTTTGAAAATGTTTGCTGAAGTGATGTTTAGATTAGAGTTTTTCCTCTCTGAGCGGACCCTGACCTTCGATTAGCCTTTCACGTGTGCTGCCAACATATTCCCTGTACTTCACTGAATCTGTCTGAAAAGAGTCCAGTGATCAATGTTGGCTATTTTTTCTTTTTTTTTTTTTTTTTTGAGTTGCAGACCGTTCAAAGAGGAGCTGAGAGAAGCTATCAGTGGCTGATGGAGGAAGAGTCCTGCTGAGTGAACTGTTTTCAATAAGCAGCAGATCGATGAGCTCTCTCTGCTATAAGTTTATTTTACAGCATCATTACGGACAGTTGGCTTCAAGTGGCCGATTAGAGGGGGGAAAAAAAGCATGTGGAGAAATGGCTTGACACGGGAGTGTGTGGGGCATATGGAAAAGCTGCTCCTCACACATTAGTGACATAACTCTGCATAATTCCTGACAGCATGCAAGATCCATTGTGAAAAACCGAAGACCTTCACACAGCACTGATGTGAGCAGTTACGGGCGTGCTCTGCGTGTCAAATCAGATGCGTTTCCATAGGTTGTCCTTTCGTTGAGCCACGAGCTGCATCCATCAGGTAGTTTTGATCGGCTCACTTTTTCTGACTTGGATGACTTTTTCTCAAAACCACCACAGGGTTGACAATTTATTAAGAAAAATGATTTAACAGCCCTTCGGTAGATTGCCCTGAAATTTGGTTCGGACATTTCTGTCTTTATAAAAATGAATTTTAATAATTTAGACGTTCAATTGACTTTCCCTCCAGCTCCATCATTATCCTTTACCTCACGACCAAAGAGCCGCAAAACTGATGAGATTCCCATTGGTCCGTCACCTCAGTCTGCTGAGGCTGCTAGAAAATCTGACCTCGACAATGCAACCGATCAGCCGCATGTCAACATGAAAACTCAGGTCTGCAAATTTACATATCGTGTTGCACCAGTTATTGACGAAGATCTTCGACATGCATGGGCTTGCAAAGCTACATTACCCCTACTAATAATAATCCATATGTAATTATAGCATAAAGCATTGTAAACATTCAAGGAGGCTGAAAGTGTCTCTAAATGCCACCTCCTCAAACACAGCCAGCTCCAGGTCGTACCAGCTGTCTCTAATTAATCGAAGTTTCAGTGAGTGATAGCTGGACTAAATTAAACTGGAGGGTTTCAGGGTTTGTTTGCTCTCCAGAGGCTTGTGTTTCTATACAACTAAGCCTTTGTGAGGGAATAACTCGCACCACGAAACACCACAGAAGAACTTTGTGCGTGATTTCTTAAATCTACAAAACCAGAGGTACGTGGTGTGTCCTCTCCTGAGTCAGCTTCAGGTGTTCATTCAATCAGTTTTAAATCATATCAAACATTTTTCCAATCACAGGACATATTGGTAATCACTGTGTGTCATTGCCTCATGATATTATGTGATGTATATATGCCTCTGGGGAGGGATGAAACTAGTGGTTTGTGTCAAACAACTTCCAGCCAAGACCTCTTTTTTTTCCTGTGGTGTTTATGTCTGCAACAGGAACGCCACCATTTCTCAGTCCATTACTTCACATTAGAGTTGGTTGTCTCGCTGTTAGAAGTCAAGTCAATTTTATTTATGGGGCATATTTTAAAACAATTCACACAACAGCCAAGGGAGACAACAAAAATGAAATCTCAGTCTAAGACTATGTTTATTTTGATTTCTTTAAATGTTATTTGACCCACGGTTCACACATAAATAGACTTTTAGGTCAGTTTCAGAAACTGACATTTTCACCTGCAAGAATGAAGATCTTTGGAAATGCTCTTGTACTTGTGCATGTATGTTAATTAAACCTCTTTATCTCCCATATTCTGCTATTGGTCGACTCAAGCGAGGATCCTGCCCACACCTTAAATCAAGTCAACACACCTTCTGGTGCTTGCGTGAGTGTAAGTTTATTGTCTGTTTACGCAACATCATAAAAGCAACTGGTTGAAACAGCATCAGTACGTTTACATGCATCGTTAAGTTGATCTATGTTATTGCTGGATCAGATGATTTAACTGGACTGCTGTACTTGTCCCAGTTTACCAGCACCAGCCAAGAATTAATGTATTTATTAACAAAGGTACTTGACAAATACATTAGCGAGATGCTAATGGGTTATACATCATTGATAACGCTGTTAAATTATATCTCTGCACCTTTCATACCTATAATACAGCTGCTTTATCTTTTTTTACACTCCCCTTTCTGTTATGGCGTGCTAACTCTGGATTACGCAGGGAACTTTTAGGCCAGTTTCAGTCAGACGGAGCCAAACTAAAGAGAAAAAAATTATCTGAGAATGTTTTTCTGACTTTGGAAAGTTTGGTTTAACACAATTTCAGTCTGACTTACATATTTAAATGCATTTTAAAAGTCCAGTCGTGGTCAGACTGATGCAATAAATTGTTTTTTTCTTTTTGGAATAACATGTGAGCGTACTGAATGACACTTGCCCTGAATGGCAAAACTCTTTGCACCAGGTGTGCAACAAAGCCTTTAGTGCCTGCAGATGTAAAAACTTATAGAGGAGCTGGGGTCCATAAGAGGCTCTGAATTGATGTCAGTGAGTTCAAGACTGAAGCAGATGCTGGCTTATTGGGGTTTTACCTGTCATGTCTCAAACACACCCTCCAAATTCACTTAATTTATCTCTATATTTTCAGATCTACTTGATTTAATTTGTCTTCTTGTACCGCACAGCAAACATAACCTTGTATCTGTTTCATCTAAATATGTGGCGCGGTTCCTGGGATGAGGTACGCGGTACTCTGGTCACTAGTCTTATCTCAGAGAGCAGCTTGGTCCTTCGTTGTGTAAAATGCCAACATGAATTATACGCCTCTCTCTCTCCATTGAGCAGCGATTCAACATCCTGTTTCAGAAAACCCCAAACTATTTGTCCAGCAAGAGAGAAGAGGTAAGAAGTCTGCTGTTTTTGATAAATGCACTTCAATAAATCAGGAGTTTCTGTTTTTGTCTGCGCTGAATCAAAATCCATTCATGTTTTACAACACGCTGATATTTTTCCATAATAGTGACATTGCTCTGTGATGCTGCTAACCTGAAACTTCACAGAGGATAATGAGAAAGCCTTCAGCCTCCAGTGTATTGGCCTTGTACAGGGTTTGAAATGATGTGCAATATGAATCTGGAGCTGCGGCTTACACTCGGGTGAAATATGTTAAAAATTCTGGACGCATATCAGTAGCAAAGAAATCCAAAATATTTCTGTCATTAAAATATCTTTCATTTTTGGTCCCCAACTGAGCAGTTCAGACAGCATATGAAGGACTTGTAAAACTCATAATAGAGAGACATGAGGACAAATGTAGAGGACAGACAAATCTTAAAAAGTTCCCCAGACACACTGCACAAGGACAAGCAGAGCTAGCAAACACTTCTTCTCCTTCTCCGGTCAACGATGCAACCTGGAGGAAAGTACAAAGCAGCTGAAACAAAATCCTGGTTGTTAAGAAGGATGAAGAGAGGGTGCAGCTACAGACGGGGGGAGGATGGGGAGTAAGAGGGCCTTTCTCTTTTGGGTGAGCTTTTCTGTTTATACTATATTCCATCTGTATCGCGTTACCGCTTGGTGCCTGTGCCGAGCGAGCGAGGCTTAACTACTGAAGTCAAAGAGAGAGCAAGAGAGAAAGAGAGGCCCAGCAGGGAATACCAGGTCACAAAAGATTTACTTCACCCCTGTCCAGAAACCGGTTTTTCAAGCAAGAACAATACATCCAGGAGAAAAAAGAAATGGAGCGAGATAGGCAGGGCCAGGTGGAGGAGGGGGAGATGGAGAGAGTGAGAGAGAGGTGGAGGATTGATGACACAGTGAGGAGAAATATAGAGAGGAGGAAAAAAAAAAAAAAAGGTAAGGAGTCCCAGAGTTCAGTCTCGAGGGGGATCTCGCGGCTGGCGTTGGCTTCAAAGCGTCTCGAAATTGAAAAAGCGAATTGAGAGCAGGATGGGATGAGATGGGAGAGGCGAAGGAGGGAAGCCAGGAAGAGAGAGAAGAAAGAAAGAGACAAAGAAGGGGGGAGAAAGGTGAGGTTCCCCAAGGATGAGTTCTGCATTTGAATTTGAAATTGGAAACCGAGTGGCAGGTCACTGCTCAGCATTGCAGCTAATGCTACTATCTCTCTTTCTCTCTCTGAGAATGTTCTCTCTCTCGTCCTCCCACCCTCCTCCTCCTCCGTGTTCTGAGCAGTGCAGATGGTGCAGTGTTCGCCCGCAGATATTAAGAAACCCAGGAGACCAGGCGCGTGAGAATGTACTCTCTCTTCTCCGCTACCTTTACAGTCATTCAGCAGCGCGCTCCTTATCCACCAGAGAGCCATGAAAGCAGCCTGCAAGTATCACTCGTACTGCTTGAGGGTTGAATCCCATGATCTCCACTGTTTTACACACATAATGAACATTTGCTGCTGTGCAAGAATTTAAAGACAAATGCACATCCGCCAGAGTCCTGCTACATTCTGGTGCACACAAGCACGCACAGAGACTCTGGAGTCTCGTGCCTCTGCTGCTAACATACAATTATGTGGCTATGATGTCATTGATTTTCTGCAATGGTTGGAAGCTGCTGCGATACCGAGCGATTAGAGAGTGCTGGAAAGTGCCTCGCTGTGTGGAATACTAATATCCTCATTTGTGAGCGGTGGCTAAAAGGGAAATGTTTTTCCATGCACCCCCTGCTAATGTTTACCTCCACAGATTTGAAGCAGAAGGGAAGAGCGGCTGACTCGCTGATGGACTGAGTGGCAGGCTGACTCAGCCCTGACTGACACGTCGGGTTCTGGATGCCTGACAGGCCGGTGGAGGGGCCCCGGGGCCCTGAGTGGACAGAGAGGAAGAGGAAAAAGTAAAAATAAACAAGAGGGGGAAGAAAAGGAATGATAAGGCCATCTGTGGTGAAAGGCAGTGATGGGTTTCATTTCAAATAAGATGTCCAACGTTAGGGATAAAAAAAAGTGACAGCCGCTCTCACAAAATGATTGATAGTACGAAAGGAAGGAAAATAATTAGATTTTCTGAAGGGTAGCAGGGCAGCATGAATGTCCTGGTGTGTATGACCAGAGCAATGTGATCCCAGACTGTCATAAAAGTAAGCACAAGAGTACTTGACAGAACAACTACTGAGTAAATGATGTAGTATTCCTATTAAAGTAATTATATTAAGGATGTTTCTGCAACCACAGATCCTTATATGTGGTTACAGCAGTGGAATAACATGTTTAACCACAGAGCAAAACAATAAAGCATGCTCCAAACTTCTTTATCTGTAAATGCATGGTTTTGCATGAAGCGTTTGTTATTCTTCAGAAAACAAATTAAATTCAAAGTTCAGAGTCGGGGACATTTGAGAGTCAAAGTTATGAAAGAAATTATTAAATATGATGCAGCAGAGGCCTATTTATCCTGATCCTGATGATCGCCGGTTTAAGCCTTGATAAAAGTTGGATCCCACACTTTTCATCATGCATCTTGATGGCCAAACATTTGTATTTTTTGTGTGGGTTACAAAAACTGGCACGAAAGCAGTTTTTTACTACACAGAGTCATTATACAACAGAGAGAAAAGCTGTGAAGTGATGAATGCATTTTCTGTCTGTCACAAACAATCATAGAAGCTCTTCATTTTCCCAGAATCCTGCTTTATTTTTAATGCGCGGATATGAGTGTGCCATCAATCTCTCCATCTGACCCTTCACAAAACGTGAATAAGCAAATCCACCCTGAAAGAATTAACAATGACACATTTAAACACCAGGTTGTTGGTCCTACAATAACCAAAGCATCAAAAACATCATGAGAGAGGCAACACTGAAAACAAAACAGTCTTTCCTTTGTGTTATGCAGAAATTTGCACCCATATGCCATGCTTTTAAAACAATCCATTTGCAAACAGATGCATATCAGGATAGTATTGGTGTTGCACCGAAAGTGACGAAAAAACAACTGAAGAAACTCAGCTCAATAGTTGCTCTTTATGTCCTCGGATTTGAACACAGCATTTTGATGTAATATGCATATATGAATGGGGCTACAATATCACCGCTTTCTGCCAGTAAACTGTCTTTGAAGTAATCCATGGGCTCAGTCGAAGTGACGCCACCCCTTGGTTTCTGCAAACTGATTCTTAAGTCTTATGGAGTTGGCAGCCATTATGGAAATGCTAACTCAAGCTAATAATTGACAAACAGTAGGTTTACATACAGAGTTATGTCATCTTGAGTTAAGGCTCTGGATGGAGGAAGCTGGAGATGCTCATTTATGCATAACTCTTATCCTTTAAACTCTCCTAAAATGCTAAAAACTTTAGTTTCAACCCGGCTGCTAAAGGGATATTCCAGCGTAAAATTAAGTTAGGACCAAACACACTGTAACACTGAATTAGACACCCCCTCAAGAGATGAATTTTGCTGACTGCTTGCTTCTCTAGTTAAGCCAACTTTAGTAACGACCTCAGGTACCAATACAGAGAGCCACGCTCAACCAAAAAGCCACTCTGTAGCCACAAACAATGCTCACAACAGCACCTTGAACAAGAACATTTATGTCATTACTAAAGTTGGTATAACTAGAGAAGTAAGCGGTCGGCAACATTCATCTTTCAATGGGGTGTCTAACTTGGTGAATATCCCTTTAACATGTGAAATGTTGCTGTACAAATAAGCAGTTTTAACACTAGATCTCATTGGAATTTGTTGGCTTTTGCGCAGCTTCAATGGGACACCAAAGTGACCACAGCGGTTTGCACCTCTGCAGTGGCTTTATTCTTAGGTGGTTTCTGCTTTGTGCTCAACTGGTATTGAAATCTGCTTTAGGTGAATAACATCAAGTTAGATACAGTCTGCTGGAAACTTTTTTGATTTGGAGTTATCTACTGCTTTTGTGAAGAACTTTCTGTTTCTGTACATCTTAAAGCTTTGTGATCTCATCCTGTACATGTCAAGGTAATATCTTCTGTCAAAGAATCTCAAAGAATTTGTCACTATCTTGAAATATTTTCTGTGGACAAAGTAAATCAGCGTGCTGTACATTTTCTCAGACACCTCTGCCCTCAGAGAGATAACAGGGATTAAAAAGTACAATGTAGAGATATTCTATCTCTTTGGTGATTTTACTGCTTTTATAGTTGTAAAGGCATCAAACTAAAGTCTGTTTCCTCACCAGTCAAAAAGTCCTCACAGGAGTTTTGAAGTTTTTGTGGGGAACTTTTAGTGTTTGTGGATTTTTGCGCCCCCTATGGACAAAGTAGTATAACTGTGTCAAATCCCTTTCTTGTAAAAGTCATGTTTCCTGATCTAAAAACTCTTACAGGTGTCTTTGTACGGTGCAAAGACAAGCCCAATCAACTCCATGCAGTGAATCCCACTACAGAGTTATGTCTGTTTTTGATTCAGTGCTGTCTGAGAATGACCACTAGTGTTGGTATTCAGCCTTGTCCCATTTGTGCACAGATTTCTCAAAATTCTCTGAATACTAGAATGATATTTATTTCTGTAATTGATGAAATTCCCAAATTCTTGTTGAGTTATTTGTTTGTGCAGCGTCTCACAGAGGAGTGAACCTCTACATATCTAACCCTCAGTGAAACTCAGCCTCTCTGCAATGCTCATTTTATTTCCCAGTTATTACCCTGTTGCAAATCAACCTAATTAGATGACAGATATTCCTCTAGGGGTTTATTTTAGCATTATAAAACAACATTTTTCAACATTTTCTCATCCCCTTCTTAACTTCTTTGAAATATATTGCTTGCATCAAATTCAAAATATTCATACATCAGTGAAAATTGTCAGTTTCACAATCTAATTTGTTTTCTTGGTGCTAGTTTAAATGAAATATAAGATTTAAATGATTTGCAAACCATTAAACTCTGTTTTTATGAACATTTCACACAGCGTTCCAACTTTTTCGGAACCTTTCTTTTATTATTTACCATGAATATCACTGTGTGAGACCTACCCAGCAGCAGGGATTTAAAATGATTAAACAGAAATTATTAGTCTCACTTCTGGTGGTCTCGTACTCCATCTCATGACTGGTTAAAAACTCCCTGTAGTTGATTTAAACTCGAATTAGTAATTAGGCTAGCTATAATTCATGCTCTTTCACAGGCTGAACAGAACACCTTGTTCTTAGCCGGTAGAGTTAACTTGTAAAACAAGCAAAGTAACCCTATAATTTACACATTTGCACAACTTTCTCTGGAAGTGTCCACCAGCAGATCACAGTCCTGTGCAAACAGCCACATATACCAAAGAAAATAACAGGGCAACAGAGGAGAGGGAGGAGAGCGAGGCCGCAGATGGCAGGAAAGGAAAGAAGTACTAAGGAAGAGGCGATGAAAACGGTCAGGAAATAATTGAATAAAACAGCTGAACCCAGAGGTAAAGCGTGAACAGTTGTGTTTGATGGTGAGAGTATGTTGGGAAGGTGAAACAGGCATAAGGCAGGGGATTCAGACAATGATGGTGGTGTACGTGAGGACAGAGCAGGGTTATAGACACCAGATGTAAGTCCCTGTTAGACGAGATTTTAAAAAATGATTTTCTAGAAGCTCAGAGCGAGATGGAGAGATGGATAAATTGAGACGGACTGAAAAGCCCAGAGGACAGAGACCAAATGCCCGGTTTTGCTGCCGAGCCTTCAGTATCAGCAAAGCCTTTTTGTTTCAACGCTTGTGTGATGAGTCGGAAGAAAGGAAAGAGAGAAGCACAGAGGGTTGAAAGAGAGAGACAAAGAGGTAGCAGTGAGAACAGGGCTAATAGAGACGCTGAGAGGTGTTAAGAGAGACGTGTAAAGAGAGGTTAAGTGGGGCAGTTCGAGAGTGTAAGGCAGGTTAAGAGACAGGGAGAAAGAGAGGCAGAGAGAAGTTTAGAGTGAAGTCTTCCTCTCCCTATTACAGAGGAGCTCTTTGTGGCCCAAAGAGCTGCAAAGTGCTTCTTTTTTACAGTGAACCCGAGGACTCAGAGGCATCGACTTTTCCTCAAATTCAGCATGAGAGCTGGTGCGTATGACTGTGACCAAATAATTCCTGGAGAGCAGACAGTCTTGCACAGTTCCAGGAGCAGTGATGTGAGGAAGAGGAGGGACTGATTATTAAGAGGAGAAATTCAGTTTGGGCATGTGGAGTCAGAGCGGGGTGTAATAACCTCCAATCACATCAGCTCCTGTCATCCCTTTTACAAAGTGGAGGACAGTTTAATGGGAGAAGAGACTAAGAAGAAAACTGAGGTTGTAAAAATATTAATACAGTCAGCTCCATGAGTTTTGAAGTCATGAGATGTCCCTTTGTGATTTGAAAATGTTTGAAATTCCTCCCAATGCGTAATGAAACTTCGAGTTATCTATGACGACCATCATGCTGCCGCAAAAACAGCTTTTGTTTAACCGTAATAAACCTTCAAACTGATAAATACAACGCTCAAACTGAATGATCCAAATCTTATTCCATCCTCTAACACTCACACAACAGCCACACACTCACAGAAACTCAAAAGCTGCAGTACAAGGGGGATGTTATGCAGCCCCAGAGGCATGCCCAGGCCTTTTTGGCTTGCATGGCCAACCTGTGGCCCTGAATTGAGCAGGGGTGGAGTAAAGCCTGCGTGCACACACACTCAAATAGGATTTATAAAGCACATCTGTTTCCAATTATATTTCAGGGATAGTTAGAAGTGTGCTGCATACAGATAAAGGAGGGCACACTGTGAGATAATTGTGCCGATTTTGGGCCAGATTTCTCTTTCCAACAAAAGTCAGCAAAAGCTCTGGTTATTGAATGGTTCTTCGAATCATCTTGCAAGATTATCCTGTGGTGTGAGGTGGATTTGGAGTGAATTTCTTCCTTCCTATTATTTAAAGGTTCACAAAAGTCTCAGATTTTATAAACACAGTATTACACACCCTAGATATGGTGCACTCTTACAATAAAATCTATCTTTATGTATATGGCATTGAATCATAACAGATGTTTTCTGAAGACATTTCCCTGTTTGTTAGTTTTCTTTTCACAAGAATCACTCCTCTTTAAATATTCAGAGCTTAAAAATGACATGATAAAGTGACATAAATGATGACCAAATTGTTACAAAAATATGATATTGAAAACATGTGTCAATCATGTTGACAGGAGAAAAATGTAAAGAAGAATATGTCAGTAAGTGTAGTAAGAAAACACCGATTGGTCAAATCATCTGTCAATCTTAATGTCATCCGTCAATCTTATTTGACGGTAACAATCTAAACTTTAGTCCCGCCCACTCCCCCCTGAGACTGCATTGAGAGGAGTCGCGGTAGATGACGGAATTTACCTTCACGAAAAAGATGTTTCAGTCAATTTTTCTTCTCCTGGCGTCGAGTTACTGTGAGCTCTGTCCTTTCAAACGATGCCTTCGGTGAGTGTACTTTATCAGAGACTTACTGGTAATGTTTGTCAAACGGACAGCAATGCTAGCCTAGCTAGTAGCTTGCTAGCCTGTTAGAGTGAAGTGCGTCGGATCGCTTTGACGTTTTGTAGCCGGAACGTGCGTGCGTACGTGATGGCGTGGCTTTGGCGGTGGACTTAGCGTTACCTCTTTACTTCCTGCTACTGCGTATTAGAGTAGTGTTGACAAGGGAAAGATGTGTCTGCATACAGTAATGCACTGTAAAAAAATAATATGCTTGGTAAAGCCAGCTGTGAGCGCGTTTTGATCATAAGAAAGGCTAGATAACTCGAGGCAGAGTCACCGGCGTCCATACACGGCGGCCATCTTACTCCGGTATACCATTCCGGTACACTTTAAGGTAGCTAAGTAATCTGCATGATCCAAAATACTCTTAACTCACTGAAATCTTGATAGATTTTCAAACGTTTTTTTTTTATTACAGACCTTTATAACATGGCTATTAGTCGGGATGCTTGGACATATTGAAATAGCAGCTTTTCTTTGAGAAAAAAAAAGACATTATCGTGCAGCACGGCTGTTTGCGCGCATGGGCTAACTTTGAGTCGCTTAGCGCGAGTTGTCAAGGCTGAGACCACGATCGAGATTTTGATTTCTTGTATGATAGCGTATTTATTTTGTCCAAGTGACAGCCTTTGTGGATGTGCTTGTGTTCTCAGCTTGGCTAACAGACTCACTGTGATTGAGACCAAGTAGATATTGCAAAGTTGACCCAGCAATTTTACATCAGTGTGTAGGCCTATAGTTATTTCTCTACCTATCTGCTTAATGTTTAATATGACAATCCATGGTTAAAATTATTCTTGAGTATGCAGGAACGTAACTAAGACTCTGAGTTTTGTTACGAACCAATCCATTTGAAAATAGGTTTAAAATAAAGCAATGTATGGTTATTTAAATGCTACATGCACCGTAGACTGTAATGTTATGAGTGGGCGGGCTGCTTGAAGTAAGATAGCCACCATGTGCGGACGTTGGTCTCCATTGGCTAACAGCGTGTGTAAGCCATCTAGTTATTATTTTAAATATTTATGGTTTTGATGCTTAGGCTGTGTGCTAGAAAATAATGGGACTGATATTACAGTATTGAATATGGATTTTTGAAGAGTATTCATGGATATAAACTCATTCATTTAAATCAAACCCTCACCCTAATTGAGCTCTCTGCTTTGTTATCAAGGCCAGGTGTTTGGATTTCATGAGTTAAAAGACACATTAACTGGACACCTGTTTGGCTGAAACCTGCTGATCTCAATCTGGCGAGCCCCTCACCTGAGAACCCTAAAAGGTAGGAGAGACTTTATTTATCTAAGGTTATGGTAGGACAGCTGACTGGGTTTTATGTATTCTCTAGGGAACAGAGTTGGTGTTTGTTTCTCTAATGCCCAACATCCACTTTCCCTCTGTGCCAAATCCTCTGATGCATCAGTTCACACATAGTGAAAGACCTCTCTGTTACAGTTTGTAGATCTGTGACAGAAACGGATTTATTATAAATTACTGTGGGTGTGCTGGAGGTTACAAAGAGGTCTAGACTTTACTCTCTGTCATAATGTTGAAAAAGACCCAAAAAGTGACGTGAAAAATTCAGTTGAAATTTCCCTAAATGATTCAACAGATTACAATTGGTTACTCTTTCAAGTGCTCATCCACATAGGGCACAATTGGGCACATACTAAAAGCAAATATTCATTTCATTAACACTATAAAAGATCTCTCCTTAATAATCCCTTTGAGATGACAGGAAGTATTATGCGATTAGTCAGAGGTAATAGTGTTCGGGGACTTGACTGAAGGTAATGTCCTGACATCTTTGAAGTAGCGCAGAGTTCATCGAGAGGACACCTGATATACTTCAGATGATTTTACTAAGAGAGGCAGTGAGAGGTGAGAGCCATTGTGAAATAATATGACAAACACATTCAGGACTGTAATTAAATCAGATCAAACGCAGGTCAAAAAAAGTGCAAAGTTCAAGAATGCAACCGACAACACTGACAACGCAGCTGTGCTCGTACCACCATTGGCACAGATTTAAAGTTTTAATCACTGAGGATGTTTGCCCATGATTAGAGGAGCGAGTCAAGCCCATCTCCACCCCTGAAAACTCACAACTAATCCAATTCAAAGCAATTAAATGAAAACATAGGTCTGTTCCAATCAAGGTGCACCGTGCCAATCCTCCGCCATCACAAGCGGTATTAGTCAAGTGTGTAGAAACGCTGACACATGCACGGTTGCTACAGACTCCGCGCTCGCGCAGACAGACACTCTAATCAGCACGCAAATCTGCACACACATGCACACATTAGGAAATAAGCTGTACGAAAAAAAAAAAGCACTTTGAAACACATGCACACACTCAGTTGATACAGGCTCGCTCGCATTTGTTCATTCAGCACTTTAAAGCAAACCATTAGTCGCTCAATCAGGCAGACCCCACGAGGGAGGGAGAGCTAATTAACGGCTGTATCCAAACGCCAAGACTCGCACTTTATCAAGGTTTCGGGAAACACGATGGGCTCCCACAAATGCTGCATTGTTCTCTCTCTCTCTCTCTCTCTCTCTGCCTGTCTGTCAGTCTCTCACCTCTCTCCATTCATAGTTCCTAATAGAAAAAATCATAATGCAAAATAAGTAATGGATTTAATGGAAAATAGTGAGGCCGACTGTCAAAGGGATGTTAGACATTTAAATTTGATAAAGGTCAAATGGATAATTAAAATTATCTCAGACAACACACTACAGGTAATTTTATGTAAATTTGACAGAAGAGGCAAAATACTGCGGGTTCCATTTTAATGGCAAAGTGTAAATGAGAATTAGAGAACTTTTATTTAAATGAGACAATATGTTTTATGAATAAAACTGCTGATTTAAATGTGAATCAGACATCGTTTGTCTATTGCATTTGATTAGTGACTAATAGTGTATCAGCAGGCTTTGCAGCATGCAAGCAGACTATTCATGTGGGAAACAAAAGCAGGTGGAGTAACATCCCAGCCCCTGTGGTCGATTAACAACAGTTTATATCTGTCTATAAAAAGGGAACAGCATGCAGTTGTGACTAAGGCTCTGTTGCAAGTAAAAGATATCAACCTAGGCAACCCAGCTGCTTGACATCATTTAAAAAAACATCTGGAATTGAAATTTCTGGACTAACTTCAACACATCAGAGGTGATCAATTTGGTTTTAAAGAAAAACAGTTACTAATATCATGTTCAGTCCAAGTGAAACACACTTACATCTGTTTCTGTGACAAGTTTTTATGATAACTGAGGCTGAGTGATATCATGCTGCTGGCTCGCTCTCACTTTCGCTCAAATCAGTGTGTAGCAAAGTTTGGGAACTCTAAAAAGTTGTGGATTTGATTATAGGCAGCTGCATCTTCACCATGTTGAGCCACAGCAGTACAAACAGGTGGGGAGAGGAGGGCAGAGAGAAGAGCAGAAGCCAAAGGGCTGCATGAGCCCAACAGAAAAGAGGCTAGTGGTCAGGCGCATAAACAAGCATTACTGAACTACCACTGCCAGGTTAAGCCAGACCTGGAGATTTTACGGCCCGGGGGCCACATCCCGCCCTCTGGATGTCCCTGCCCGGCCCTTCGTGAGGTCCATCAATCAAATCATCAACATGCTACACAAGTGTGTTGCTTTTATTTTGAAAACCTAGCTGTTGGGGGGGGGGGCTTGTTTTTAACTAGTAGTTGCTTATTTAGGCTTGCTTTTCTGTATGTGTGAACCCCCCTGATTTGAAGTTGAAGATATTGTTGGTTCGGCCCTCCAACACAGTTCAGGTTTCTCATTTGGCCCCATGTAAAAATGAATTGCCCACCCCTGGGTTAAGCAGTGACAACAGCCTGCATGATAGTGAAGTATAATCCAAACGCTTGATGTTTATAAAGATGTAGGTTTAAAAGACTGAATGATGTGTCTGATCTACAGCCTAACACTAAAAAGTAATGATCCTTGAGTTTTTAATAACAAACTATAAAATTCCTACTCTGCTACAAGTGAAAGTTTGACATTTAGTTCAGTGAGTTTTATCAAGATTAAATCAAAGCTCTCAGTGAAGTTAAGAATTGAAGCATGGCCCTTTTCAATATCTGTAAAAATTATTATTATGTATTTCAACTGACAAGACATTATGTAGTTCAACAGACAAGCTTTAAAAACCAACTTTATTTTTGAAAAGAGTTTTAAGGTTCTGTGCAGACTCATGAGTCATTGTGTTAAACAATCATGATTTTAATATTAATAAGTATAATCATAGTTATTATTAATGCCACAATCGAGCAGACTTAGTGCATCTCCAGGGTATATATTTTCCAGTTATGTCTAGACGGGTGACTTTTTATGCACCTGATCTGAAGAAATGGCAGCCTCTCTCAAGTTGCTTATTAGTCTGAGTTTATTATATCACACGACAGAAGCAGTCTTGGCTGGAAGTTGTTCAGCACTGACAGCTGGCTGCACCAGAATGCCTGAAAAGTTGGCCATCGTTCCCAGAGGCATCCTCTCAGACGATAGCCAAGGTTAGCGTTTCAGCAAAGATGATATACATAATGCATTGAATAAAAAACAACCCAGAATCACATCTGCCCATAACCAGTTGTTTGAGTCGCATAAATAAAATATTAATTTAGTGTCCTTTGTGACATTATACTCAATATTGTAAATAAACATTATTTAGAGTGCTGAGAAGTTGTCTTAAAGTCTGATTTATTCTTGCATAACTTTAGACATTCATGAGCAAACAAGACAAAGTAAGCAACAAAGTCCAAAAGGCACATTTAGGTCTACTTTATAACACCTCAGGGCTCAGACATCATAACTTTGCAGTTCGATTGATTGGTATACATACATAATGTGTCGTCACCTTTATCTCACTGAGCCAAGGCTACTTTAAAGCAGTTAGAGGAGAAATGAAGAAAGATATATATACATAAATCTCTTTGCAATATAACCCCATCTCCACAAACCTCAAAAGACATATAATGTTTTCTTTAGGGAATCCGTTTTTCTTAGGAGCAAGGGGATGAGTGAAAAAATTTGCTTTTTAAGGCCTTAAAATATTTCCAAGAGAAAAGATGAAATGCAAAAATGTTAGTGAAGAAAAGCAGGAAGTCAGCGGCAGCAGTTTGAGGACGATTTTCTTTTAGGTTTCGCTTATCATGGTCAGAGCAAACCTAATCCGAGTTAAATCAGTTTTCCTCGGGGTTTAGTGGAGACCAAAGTTGATACTGTGACAGAGGACACAAACACGACTCCACCGGGAGGATCATGTTGCTCTGTGTTTGCTGCGGCTAACAGGTGGGCTGTTGACACCTCGATAAGCCTTTTATGCTCCTGTGAAGGTTTCATCGTTCAGAAAAGTGATTCACTGCATTTTTAAGAAGCTCTTTCCCGGCATAGTTTAACAATACCATACAGAACTGATTTCACACAAACTATTATTGAAGCTGGAGCCCCAGTCTACCCCGACTGGCACAAGCTGGTGCTGTGTGACTGTGGCATGAACCTAAAAGGCTAATTAGAAAACCCATCATGACAAACTGAACTATTTAACAGATAATAGGCTGGACTTGGACTCTCTGTAGGTGCTGTTATGAGGCGAAGAATATTTATCATCTGTAAACTGATGTCAGGGTGTAATGATGATTCAGTACAGAGCTTAGAACCCATAAATTGAGCCAGCTGTACAGCCCTTTGTTACCCAGCACGGTTAGAGCTTGTCAGTTCATTTTCATTTTTAAGGGCTGTTAACAGATGAAGTGCCTCGTCGCGCACCCGGCGCAAAGCATTTGGACCTGCAGTGCAAGTGTCACTGTCATTTCCTGTCCAACGCATTTGTCGTTGGACAGTTGTGCTCAGCACTCGCTTTTGGTGCACTGCTATCTCGAGGAAACAGAACCTGTCTGTGCCTTAGAGCAATAGAAGCCACGTCCGGAGTCTAGAGTCAGTGATGCAGTACTTTCCTGATATTGACACATCACTGTTGAGTCTCACATTAGTGAGATAGTAAGCTAGGCTTAACAGTTGACAGCATGTATTCCTCTACTCTTTAAGTGACAGATATTTGCACTTTTGCAAATATGTATCACCCAGTTTATGTGCCATTCAGATAGGAGTATATATTCATATAAACTAGGGCTGCAGCTATCGATTATTTTAGTAATCGAGTACTCTATCGATTAATCTGTCGATTAATCGAGTAATCGGTTAAGAAATGTTTTGCTCTCACTGTAATACTTTGCATTGAATCACGTTTGCCTCATTAAAAACCATCAGTAACACACAAAACTGAAATAGGCCAGGTCTTTCAAATGAATATTTTTACTGCATAAATCAGGAACCAAAAGTTTTACATTTTACCATGTAGTTCACATGAAACTACTGAAGGCAAGGTCTGCAGATGGTCTTTTAATTGCTATGGTAATGATTTTCGGTCAAAATCTTAACCGCTGCGACAATGTTGGCACCGTTGTCATGGACAACAGCTTTGATCTTCTTCGGTGGAATGTCAAATTTGGCAATGACGTCCTCAAGCCACTCTGCAATATTTGCAGCTGTGTGTCTCTCCTCCAGATGCATTGTTGTCAGGCTATGGGACTTCACTTCCCAATCCTCTCCAAGAAAGTGACCCGTCACCCCTAGATAAGCCTCTGTAGCAACACTGGTCCAAATGTCAGCTGTGAGAGCAATGCTGTCACACTTTTTAAGAATGTTCGTCAACTTGGCTTTGATTTCTTCATATTTCTTCTCCATCAATTTTGTAAAGTAGGTTCTTGAGGGAAGTGTGTACTTGGGATTGAAAGTAGAAATCATCTTCTGAAATCCCTCATCCTCCACCATGGAAAGCGGGCGCATGTCTGAGACAATCATGTTTAGAATACTGTCGGTGAACTCAGCTGCTTGCTCGGTTGAACACGGTGGAGGTCGCCGCACAAAGCTGTCCAGAGTTTGGTTCTTTGAAGAACTGAAAAAGAGTCCAATTGATATTGATATTAACATATGTCTAATGGTGTAAACATTTTATAACTTTTTTTTAGTTTGTTCTGTTTATATTGTTTATGAAGTTCTATTTTTTCTCTGGATCATTATCTTGTTTTTTTAGTAAAGTTTTGAGTTTGGTTATTTTATTTGGCTTTTACTTATCTTGCGAAATTACTAAAAAAAATATCATACTCAGATACTACAATAAGTCAGCTAGTTAATGCACATTAATCCAATAGTGTAAATAGTTTTGAACTTTATAAGTTTGTTCTATTTATATTGTTTCTTAAGTTCTCTTTGTTTTCTCTGGGCCATATCTTGCTTTTTAGTAAGTTTTTTTTAGTTTGGTTATTTTTGTATTAATTGTATTCATATTAATTGAGTTCATTCTTATGTCTATTCACAGCCTTTGCTGCTAAGAAAACGCTAATTTCCATACTGCAGATCTAATTCATCTTGTTTAATTTCTAAAAAATATATATACACTTATATACTAAGATAATTCAACTAGCCCATGCACATTTATTTGATGGTGGAAATATTTTTTTAACTTTTAGTTAGTTCTGTTTATATTGTTCTTGCAGTTCTCTTTTTCTCATATCAGTCATATCTAGTTTTTTTTTTAGCAAGCCTTTAGTTTTGGTTATTTTTATATTATTATTATTATTATTATTAATAGTAGTAGTAGAAGTAGTAGTATTTGTATTCATAGTTATCTCTCTTTACTGTATTTATGCCTTTACTGCTGTCATAATGTTAATTTCCAGGCTTTGGATCTAATTTTACTTGTTTAATTAATAGGCTGAAATAATATAATTCTTGGATACTAACATAATTTGACAAGCAAATGTATATTTATTCAATATATAAAAGTGTTACATTTTTATTTACATTGTGAAGCAGCCTTTAGACAGCGCCATAAATTAAATTACATTATGTACTGGACTTAATCTTGATTATTGATCACATTGATTTGTTTTAACTGCAACTGCTTAGTATCGTGAACATTACCTTGTTGTGGCCAGTCCGCTCTGCGGACTTAATGCATGGACCGGGTGTTTTCTTTTAAGGTGCTGCAGCATTGACGACGTGCTGTTGTGAAACGCCAACTCCGCCTTACAGTGAACGCACTGCACAGCGTTTTCTTTCCTTTTCAGTGTGTAATGGTCCCACACTTTAGACACTTTCTGCCGTTTCCTCTGCGTGTCATCTCTTTCTTCCTCTCTCTGTCTGTCCTCGTTTCCCTCCATGATTGAACCAAACGCGCGGCAGCGGAAGGAGCGGAAAGAGCACGCTGCTGCGCAACAGAAATAACCGTCCGTGTCAAACACCGTGCGCTGCACATGGTTCCGGATTTAAACGATTCCTCGAGGCATATAATTTGCCTCGAGGAATTTTATTAATCGAGTTACTCGAGTAATCGTTTCAGCCCTAATATAAACCCTTATTCACTCTGCACCACAACATTGAAGATGATATAAACTAAAGGGATAATACGGCGTAAAATTAAGTTAGGGTCAAACACACCGTAACACGGAGTTAGACACCCCCTCGAGAGATGAGTGTTGCCGACTGCTTACTTCTCTAGTTATACCAACTTTATTAACGACTGATAGCAATACAAAAGCAAAAAAGCAATACTGCAGCGGGGTGACGCAGCTCAAGGAAGAAAATGTATGATTATTACTTCATGTAAATGCAATCAGGCCAAGACGCTAAGGCAGCAGAACTACTGCGTCTGCAGTGCAAAATAATGATTATAATGATTATTACTTCGAGGAAATGATAAAGAAATAATCATAGATGTTCTTCCTGGAGCTGCGTCACCCCACTGCAGTCCGTAATATACTAGCCTGAGGTCTCTGTACAAACAAGCGGCTGCTGGAGGAGAGTAGGTGAGTTGTGTTTGGTCCCTTTGCTAAAGAAATTAGGGAAAGCTAAGAAGATGTTTGGTAGCTAGTACTATGGCTAGGACCCTATATGTACTGTTGATGAAGTAAGGTGCTGTTCTGAGCATTATTTGTGGCTATAGAGTGGCGTTTTGGTTGAGGTTTTTTTATGGCTCCTGAGACCGCTGTGTATTGCTGTTGTGCGGTCGTCACGAAAGTTGGTGTAGCTAGAGAAGTAAGCGGTCGGCAACATTCATCTCTCAACAGGTTGTCTAACTCTGTGTTACTGTGTGTTTGACCCTTACTAAATTTTACACCAAAATATCCCTTTAAGACCAAAAGAGGCCGATCCTTAATGCTGCAGATAAAGATTTGGCGCTTCAGTATCTGGCTCCAGCTCCTAACTCATGTTGCTTCATGTCCAGCATAATACGTGAATATTTGAGGTTGTATGACTCCCTAGCTCAGTTTTTTCTTAACTTTATACAGGCCACCACACAGTTTGTTAATATGACATGCAGGCAGGTTGAGCGAGGTCCTTATCTGCGACAGCCATCTTGGTTGTTCGAAATGCCTCAGTGATGCTTAAACCAGCCCCCTATTAGATGAATGGCTGAGATTTGGCCAACCTGAACCAGACCAGATGGAAATCTCCTCAACCAGGAGGGAAATCAGATTCATCTGCCAGAGCAGTTGAACATGATCTCGCAGTTTAATTTGCTGCCTTACTACCCTTTTATAGCTGCAGGATAATTTGACTGACTTGCTATCATTCTGTTGTATTTCTTATTATTATGAGGACATCGTAAACCCATTATATTTTCAACCCGGCAGGCAGGTACTCTCGGAAAAAAAAGTTCTCGATGATATTTTGCAATTATTTTCTCAGTGTACAAATTATTTCACCTGCAGCACCTCCACATGCGGTGAAATTTTAGAAGCTTTTTTATCCAGACTTTTTAAAAAGTGTCAATAATCAGAAAGAAATGAAACAAAACCAAATTACTTTTATGTTCACAACGATTAAGTAAAACAGATGAAGGTGATTTTGCTTTTTTCTGATTCAGAAGATTGTAAGAGACAGATCGTTATGTCTGAGCCCTCTTTTCCCCTCATGGATAAACAAATGCTGTTTGTTCAGGTCACTGTTTACATCCCGGGGCGGCGGCTCTAAGACGGTTCAACAACAACAGAAAGAGTCGTGGTTTGACTTAAATCAGTGAGGGGGTCACATTCCTCATTGGTGTTTGGGTAGAAAAGCGTGTTTGCCAAATGTTGGACACCAACAGATTAAGGTAAAAACAACATGACCGCAACAAGTTTGGTCTACTCTACTGCTTATTATTGACACCGTTAGTGACGTTTCTGCTAACTTTAGCTCCAAAAAGCTAATGCTCCCAACGTCGCGTTAGCTGCCTCTTGCTCATATTTTTTTGTGCGTGTCATGCTGTGCACAGAGAAGTGATTTTGCAGTTTTTTGCCATTCTAATAACGTTAAAAGCAATGCACTAATATCGTGATAATATCGTGATTCGTGATATTTTGGGCCACCAATATCGTGATATCAAATTTTCATATCGGCACATGCCAAGAAACTCACATAGCTGGACCAAAACCAGTTGGGGTGACGGTGATGAGAAGGACAAATTACCCCGATCCAACCTACTGGGGACAAATTTTAGTCATTGAACGAGCAGATGTTCTGTCCTGTGTCGTCACCTTGGATAGAGACAGTAGGAAACGTTAACCTTCTTTAATTTCCATGCACCTACTGGAGTGTGATGAGTCCAGCAGCTTTTTGTTCCAGGTATCAGGTTAAAGTTTAAGAGCTGAAACTATTTCTTGGAGCTATCTCTGTAGGCTTGTTTTGTGCCACATTTGGTTTGAGAAATGGATCTTTTTTTAAAAAAAAGTTTTTTGTGGGTCAGAAAGTTCTCAGCAGCAAATAACTCAGATATTTTTCCTCAGATTTGGTGATCAGTTATCACCGTGAAACATTTCAGGCATTTCTTCGTAATGCGTTTGATGTACGAGTTTTATGCCTGTGAGGTTGTACTCAAAGAGGAAGTTCTGTAACAGGTGCAACCTTTAAAATGAATTTTCTGACTAGACTCTAAAGCAAAGATTTATGTGCTCATTTTCAAGCTGCCTTTTCCATCCAAATGCATCTGCCATCTCAATAAAAACCTGAATTTAGCTCCGACTGTCTAGCAGCTGCTACAAGACCTTAAGCTTTCGTGGCCCTGTGTAGTTTTATTGATCAGGATAGAGGGAATAATCAACACCAGCACCTGGGTCTTCTTTAATTCATTTTTCTGCTCAAACATGAGAAACAGATTATACAGTGTTTATTTGGGGCTGTATTTACTGGGCCAGAAACAATGAGTGACTAATTAGGCTGTTGGGGTTGTTTGTTGCTTGGAGAGGCCACTTGAGCTGTTTTTTTTGGAGACAACGGTTTCCTCGAAGGAGTGCTGCTGTTGTGGGAAAACCAAACAGGAGGGACCACTTTGAATTGGCCTTGTTTGTAGACGGTTATGAATGTAACTATCTTAGCATTGTGGGATAAAAGCTGCAGATTGTTGCTATGCACTTTTCTTTGAAGCCAAGAGTACATACTCAGGGAAATCTGTATGCTTGTGTTGTTCAATTTCACTTTTCTTATTGAATGTTTATCAATGGTGTTTTGAGCAGCAGTCTGCACAACAGCGCTGTCATGTCCAGATCTTCTCTTTATCAAGTCTAATGTGTTATCATTCATCCTAGATTCTTTCATATCTATTTTTATTGCTTTTCAAACATTTGAATAAACTGATAAATGAAGTTTATACTTCGGTAGAAAACCCTTCACACAGTCGTTGAACTTTTCTGCCCTTACCTTGAATTTTCTCAGTAATGAAATATCTTTCTGCTGGAATTGCGAAGAAAATATCCTCTTCATGGAGTGTAACTTTGTTGATCTGTTAAAAGCTGAGACTCTGCTGACTCTCGAAACCGTTATTGTGATGTTATATCTTTTTTGTTTTACCAACTCCACTGTGCTTAGTGAGGCATCAATCTGTGACCATGCTAAACAAAATAAAGTTAACTTTGCATCGCTGGACTTCAAATGAGGTGTAAACTCTACGATCAGCTTGGACTAGGTGGATAACCCAACTCTGAACAAAAAGAAATCCTAACATACGGAGTTGTATTCTACATAAGAGGATTAGGGCCACATGAGGAGAAAAAAAAAAAAATTACATGAAGGAGATTAAAGTCGAAATTATGAGATTAAAGATGAAATTTTGAGATTAAAAATGTGAAATTGTGTCAAAATCCAGATTTCGAGATTAAAATGAAATTACAAGATTAAGGTCGAAATTTCGAGATTACAAAATGTTAAAATGTTGTGAATAATGTCGAAATTTCTGAAATTGAAAAAATTTTAAGTCAAAAATTTGAAATTAAAGTCAAAAATTTGAGATTAAAAATATTAAAATTTCAGGATTAAAGTTAAAATTTCGAGATTCAAAATTGAACCCTGGAGATTTAAGTACACATTTCGAGATTACAAAATGTTGAAATGTGAATAATGTTGTAATTTTGAGATTGATAAAAATACATTTTTGAGAAAAAAGTCAAACATTTAAGATTAAAGTTGAAATTTTGAGATTAAAGTCGACAAGGATAAAGTTGAAATTTCAACTTTTTTAAAATTTTAGTTTTGAATTTTTAGGGAATTTCGACCTTAAATTTTTAAAAATTATTTTCTTGTGGCCCTAATCCTCTTTCGTATTATTTTCACTATAAAATTTACAACACCGGTACAGACAAGGAAAAGCTTTTGGTGGAGAAAGTGTGCTTGTCTGTAACCAAAATCATCATTACAAAGCAGGTTAACCATCGACATATTGGTAGAGATATCTCCTGTTTTCACAAGACTGGAAAACATTGACAGTTCAAAGCTGACAGCCCCAATTGCATAAAACCTGAAAGCAATCAACACCCGCACCCTGTTTCTGTTTGACACAAGACAGATCAGAGAGGAAAGCTTTTTGATAAATTCAAACAGGACTTATTGGACAAGACAAAACCTTAAAATCTCACGGTCGAGGTAGTACTTGATCAGAGACTGCTCTTTCATCTTCACACACTGTCATCAGTCATCCTGCAAACAAGATGTGCCATTACTTTTATTTAACGTCTAAAGTTTCTGTTTTTATTACCTTACATTGCCCGACTAGTTTGACTTCATCAACTCACACCGGCTCCTTCTAGGTGCAAAAGTGCACAGAGTCTAAGGTGTTTCTCAGCTTTACACACATACTGATAATTTTAATCACGGATTATTTTCTCCTCTGAGAAAAATCGAACAGAGGTGTTTTTGAATGTTAGTCTGACCCAAGGATTATACAGAAATGGTCAAAAACACTGACATGAGCCAAGGTGGATTTGAGTTGGAAGAGCAAATCACTTGAAAA